GTGTACCTAAAGTTCTGAGACTATAAAATTAATGTACATGTCAATAAGAAGCATGAAGTCTATGCAGGGAGACACATTCATGAATGAAGAGAATTTGATGAGTCAAGTTTATATGATACTTTATAGTATGAGTTTTATAAAATTAAAACATTTGCTATCTGGCATTTTAGAAAAAAAAATATTTTTGAAGCCTTGCTCTAATAGATTCCTTAGAATATATACTTAAATATTGTATTCTCTTGAGTACTTACACAATCAAATCATTTCTCTGACTTTGATGCCTAAAGCTTGACTGGTTATAACATTCCTGAAAAAGTATTGGCGGTGATGGGAGGAGTGGGACAGAAGGGAACAACTGACCAAGGAGCAAGATGACTTTCTAGAAGTGATACTTCCTAAGAAATTTGAGCAGAGTCTTAAAAGTTTTAACAGTAAGAATTAGTCTGGTCAAGGGAATGAAAAGAAAAGCATGAATGAAAGAAAGCACAGATATTTGAACAAGATGGATATGTGCCAGAGTGTTAACAGATAGATATCACTGTATCTCAAAGTATAAGGCAGGGGGGTTCAGAAGACATGAGGCTGAAGAGGAGATTGAAACCAAACATTGGAATTCTTATTTTAAAGATCCATATTCCTGGGTATATGAAGACTTCAGAGTTTGAAATTCAGATTTTTAAAAGTTAAATCATTGGAGAGGCCTGTGGAAGATAGATTTGAGGAGACAAAACTAATATCAAGATGAATAATAATAAAGGGCTGGGATGAACTAAGTGGTAAAGTACTTGCCTCACATGCAGGAAGCGCTGAGTTTGATCCCAAGTTCCAAAAAATAATAACAATAATAAAGAGAATTTTGAAAGAAACCACATGTGGGACAGAAGGAATAATTCCAAACCTATCTTGGAAATTAACCAGAAGCAATTAACTTTGAAAGTATCCCAATAAAATTATTAGACTTGAAGGATAAAGGAAAAAAATCAAGGTTCAAAAACAAAATAACAATGATCAAAATCAGTAAGGATAAGAAAATTAAGACAGCATTAGAACTTTCAAATCAAAATTTTCAAGGAAAGTAATCACAAGTCAGGAATGTTATAACCAGTCAAGCTTTAGGCATCGAAGTCAGAGAAATGATTTGATTATATAAGTACTCAAAAGAATACAATATCTAAGTGTACATTCTAAGAAGAATCTATTAGAGCAAGGGTCCAAAAATATTTTCTGTAAAATGTTTTTTAAAGGTAACTTATGATCTCTGGGCATATTCTTTACTTTTTAAAACAATCTTTAAAAATATAACACCATCCTTAGCTAAAGTGCTAGATTTGGCCCATAGGCCACAGTTTGCCTAAAACACCAAAAGATGTACTTTATCCAACCAAGAGAGAACAAAGAAATTTTAATAAAAGGACCCATGTAATTAAATATGTTCAATATATTTAAATGTGAAGCTAAGTCTAAAACAAGAGTGTAGGCATGGGTGAAAGAACAGTATGTAAATATTCTATGTTCTGACATGAAGAGAAGGTAAATAAAGGTGGAAGAAAGGAAAAGGAGAATAACATTATTGATTGTTCAACATAAAACAAGCTGGAGACAAAGAATAGAATTTAAAACCAAAAGGTAAGATAGGAAAAGCTAAGACAAAAGACTCCTAAAAAAAGTACACATAAAAGAAATCACTAGAACAAAAATACAAACATAAATAAACAACAAAATAACAAAGACACTAGAGGGAAAAAAATGATAAAATATAATACACTGTAATTTGACAGATTAATATGGCCAGAAGTATATCCAAACTTATCAGTCACATAAAAAATAAGAATGGATTTATTATTAAAATGCAAAAAAATTCAAATCTATTCATAGGGCAAAATCCAACTACATGCTGTATGTAAGAGCTATATCTTAAACAGTCACTCAAAAAAAGCTAATGGGGTGAAACAAAGATAAACCAAGCAAACAAAACAATAAGAACATTGGGTTAGAATCTGACATCGAAGTGGACTTCAAACCAAAAATAATTAAATAAAATTAATTCTAAAAGTCACAATATACAATGAAAGCATAAGTCAAGAACCAAATGACACAAAAACAATTTAAATGAAGCAGGAACTATAAGGGTTAGAAGAAAAATTGATAGAACCACACACTGGTGATTAGAGACTTTAACATATTAGTAATTCCAAACAGGTTTTGAAGGAAGAAAAAGGATGAAATTCGAACAACTTGATCCATAAAGTAATCCTGAGGGCAGGCCACAAGTCGGAAGTGTGTAGGGCAATTAAAATTCAAAAATCTACAGTCTCACTTGAAAAGCCAGAGGACAGACAGGGCAATCATAACAGTTTAGCTGGAAAGTGTATGCCTAGATACCTGCTTAAAAAAACAACAACAAAGTCAGTGCCTTTCAGATCATAATAGAATCAAGAGTCTACAACATATATCAATCACAATGTCTAGGATACATATCAAAACTATATCACACACACAAAGAAACAGGAAAATATAAACCATTCTCAAAAGAAACCAAATCAATGGAGATGGCTCCTTGGATGACTGAGTTGTTGAAGTTCGTGAATAAGGATTTTAAAGAAGCTATTATAATTAAATTTAGATCTGGTTTCTAAATACTACTTTTCAAAAAATTTCCTTGAAAAATATTGAGAGTTGGAGCAAGGAAGCTACAAAATGAGCCTGAACATCTCATGTTATCAGAAAAGCAAGTGCTCAAAAATGATGTGAACATGTTCAAAAGATATAGAAGCCAACTTGAAGGATCTCCCAATTACAAACTGAAACAATATGGGTAACACAATCATTGTAATGGATTATAGCCCATTATAATTAGATATCTGAATTCTTACTAATATGAATAGTTGAATAACTAAATGTAAGGTTAAAACAGGCACAGCTCCTTTGAGCAGAAATCCAATTTATAAATATACAAGGAACGATGGAAATAGAAAATCAACATTAGGCAAACACAATAATTACTGCAGACAAAACTCATCAATAGATGGTAAAAATTGTGGTAAAAAAGATTTGCACAGTTTGAAAGTATTCCCCATCCCAAGATGTTTACTAATTAAAAGGGGAAAATCTGGTAGACACTATTTCAATCAGTAAGGGTAAGTCACTATAGGTTTAACATCTTTAATCTGAAAATCCCAAATCTAGAATGCTACAAAATACAAAGCTTCTAAAGAACATGAAAACGAGTAGAAAACTCTATGCCATGACACTTTGTTTCATGTACAAATTTAAAATACTGCACTAAATTATCTTCATGCTATGTATATAAGACCTAAAACCATAAATTTCATGTTTAAATTTTATTCCATCTCCCAAAAATATTTCATTATATACATGCAAATATTCCAAAATCAGAAATCCAGAACCCTCTGTTTTCAAGCATTTTTCAGAAAAGGGATTTTCCACCTGTAGTAATTTACAAGTTAACATCTTTCACACATTCCTATGATACCGTGTTTTTTTTAATATATTTTTTTAGATGTTGATGGACATTTATTTTATTCATTTATTTATATGTGGTGCTGAGAATTGAACCCAGTGCTTCAAACATGCTAGGCAACAACTGAACCACAAACCCAGCTGCAAGCCTATGGCATTCTTAACACACACATATACTATATAATTTCAGTAAGGATAAAGGAACAAATATGGACAGCAAGGAAAAACTTCGCAGTTGAATAAAAGATATTAGTGATATCATTCTCAGCATTTTGGCTAAGATCAAGCATAGAAAATTAAAGTATCAGTATGCACTTATATATAAATGTTCATGTCCATCCTTTCTTGCTTGGTCAGCAAGAAGACACTAAAGATAAAAGACCCAAAAGATAAATCCCAAAAGCCAGGAGCATACCGAATTCTCAAATCTCAGTTTCTAAATAACATTCTTTTTAAAAAGAACCAGACTCCTTAGAGAAATGGCTGATACCAGGGATAAGGGCAGAGAAGGTACAAGATGAGTCTAGAATGTCTTGCTTCCCAAAAAGAAAGAAGTGCTCAGAAAGTGTTGTGGGCCTCATAATAAGACACAGTATCCATACTTTATAGGACTCTCCCAAGTCTAATCTCAGATAATTTAAAAATCAATATAGTAAAGATTTTAACTCACTTTATGAAACAGAAATCTATGAGTCTACACTTGAAATAGTTTCATGGATGATAGCTAGCTAGAAAGATAAATAACAAGAGATCAATTCCTTAGAGTAAAATGCTGATAAACATGGAACACAATATAGAACTGAAATTTTTTTGCAATTATCATAATTAAGATTATTTTGAGATGTTTGATAAGGGGTAAAGTAACTACATAATCTGGAAGTACCTTCCCCAGAGATCGCCCATTAGTTGCAAGGAGGAAAACAGCTATACAGCAAAGACAGAACAACACTTTAACCAGGCAATCAAAATTAAGATAACAACCAGCTCCTCACCTCAGATGTGAAATCCTAACAACCCTGCCTTCACTTTAGTAGTATGTTGGTTGGGGAACATTTATCCTCAAGCTTCATTGGAAAATACCAGATAAACCAAAATTAGAAAACATCCTATAGAAAATCTACATACACACTAATTATTAATTATTTTTGTTATAGAGAACTGATCCACCTGAAGGCAGAAAGCATATCTTAAAATCTTTCTCTCTACCATCTCAATATCTGATTATTTTTAACAACTTAGTGAACACTGAAGACACAAAATATAATGAGATGGTTAGAATAGCAAATTTTGAAACTAAGTGAATAGAATTTTTCTTAAGTAATATTTCACACTCTCATTTCAAATTCCCAAAAGTAAACCTTTGCAAAACTTTTTAACAGTATTATTGTAAAATCAGAATATGTGAAATATAACCACTCCAAATATACATTTAAATAATGAGAAGTCTTATATATTCAGATACTCTACAAAAAGAAAAAAATCTCAAAAATGAATTGAATTAAAAAATTTATAAATACAACTGTAGTTAGAACCCAACTTTATTGTTACAACCAATTTTTATTTACAGAATATAAATCTCTTCAAAAAGATACATTCCTTCATTTAATCAATGGTAAAAAGCCTTATTAATATGGAAATAAAGGCTAAACATCACTTATATTTAAACAGAAAAACAAACTGCTTCCATGAAAAGTTCTTGAACATATAGTAAAAATGTATTTTTACTTAAGCAGTTACATGAATGAGGCCGTTTTAATTTTCTTCACTGGCAATGCCATTTTTTCCACAGAAGAATTTTACTTAAATTAACAGTAGTAAAAATGTAAAAATTAAATTTTAAACATGAATTATGCAACAAAAAAAACAGGAAGTATCTCCATTAGCAAACAGACTAACAAATTCTCAGACACTCAGATACTTTCTGAGGCATATCAAAACACCTACATCAAAAGTTGCATTCATTTGAGAGGTATCAATACATTTTCAGTGCTGAGACTATTTGTAGCACTTACAGTATATACAAAGCAGCATTATACTACTATAGTTCACATTTGATAAACACAAATTTAAGCTTTATGCCACAATTTCCCAATTCAACAAACAGCTAATGCAATGACAATTACTCATTCCATTTTTTTTTTCCTTGCACATGGGATAGCCACATCTTCTTCCTTAGAATAACAGTATGTTTTAAAATTCAAATACTTTCTATCATGGAAACTTGACCTAACTGTACAAAGCCTCCTAAACACAGTAGAGTCAAAAGTTTCTTCTTTGTAAATTCCATAAACTTATAGTTATTTCAGTACAGTTAAATACAGAAAACTACTTCAGATTATTGGACAATAAAATTCTGTATGTCACTACCTGTATTTAAGTAGGAGCATACCACAACTAAAACCACGGTAAGTAAACACTCTCATCTCCTCCACTGCTTTTTGGGGGGCCTTTTCCAAGTCATAGGAGCTAGTTTACATGGATACCACTGGATTTCAATCTATCTCTGATAGTTTCTTATTAAGAGTTTTTAAACTTAACTTTCAAAAGCCTACCATTCCAATCACCTAGGGTTTTTTTTTCCTTTTCTCTTCACTAACTAGATGAAATATAATATGTAATGCTTCCAAATTTTATAAACATCCTGTGTTTCATTAAAAGGATTAATGGTATCTAAAATACCATTAGTGGGTAAGATATTAACCAAAAAAATGAGATTAAGAATATTTTAGAGAGCACTGTTTTCATAACTAGAAAAGTTATAGATTCATAATGAATACAGATATACTAATATCTTAACCCTGCTGATTTATAATGTCAGTAGTACAGTAAGTGCATGCAGGAAAGAAAAAGAAAATTTCAGGAGAGAAGTCTACTAAAAAAAGTTTTGGATGATGCCTGAAACACAAAAGAATTTTATAGTGCTTATAAGCACCATCATTTTTTCCCCCATCCAAATAGTTCAGATTTTCTTCCCATATCAAATTCTGGAAATAAAAAATTTTCAGTCTAAAAATTGTTAAAAAAAATTCATTAGGTAATACATCTTATTAAATTTCAGATTTCACATATCAAAGCAATGTGAACCATGTGTTTTCTTTTACAGTAACATTTTTTTATAGACCGAGTACAAAATTGGGGAAATATTCATTTAAAATAATTGATACACTTTTCTGTTTAAGACATCAAACCCAAAAATTAACACTGTAATCACACATGTGGTATGTAATAGAAAAAAAAGGTAGTTGAATATAACATTTAGCTAGGTTTTATTTTTAAGAAATGAAAATAAAACAGAGTGCCTTAATATGTAACTAAATTTCCCAGTAAAAGGACATTCTGAAATCTAATGGACCAAAGAAAAAACAAAGCTACTTTACCACATTACTTTAATTCTTTTTCCTCTGTGCATAATAATTACTAGTATTTACCTTCTGTGTACAGTAGTACAAGTTGATGCCAATAACAAAACTCTCCTAGCATAAAGCACTGTTTACTTTGTCTATCAACTGAATAAGTGATTAATATTAAATGTTGAAGTCTTTACTACTTTGGAATGCAGTATAAAATGCTTCAAAATAAAGCAAAAAAACCAAATTGACAGTATTTTTATTTATATTATGAAGTAATGAACTAAAACTGGTACTGAAGTCTTCTGTATAATGTAAAAAAGAAATATCTGGATAATTTTAAAAGTGGAGGTTTTTAACTTTTAATTGAGAGTGTTTGGGGGGACTTTTTTAAGTCTGGAAGTTTTAGTTAAAATACTTATGAAGTTAAAGTAAATATTTTTAGTAAAAAAATGGATATACTTGTCATTAAAAGATCACCTATGTCTTTTCTGTCTTTTACAATCCTACAATGAACAACTTTAGAGAAGTCACCTGAGAAATTTTTAAGTTGAACTAAGAGAAGTTATTTGCCATCTCTTTATGGGATTAAGATTCACACTAAACTTCAAAGGGGTTTTTTTTTGTAGAAAATATTAACAAACATATTTCCACAAACAGGAAAAGATAATAATACATCAGTATATAAGCATTAAACTATATTTTCAGTTTCCTTTAGTTTAGAATTGTGACTCAAAGAATGAAACTCTAATACTATAACAGTACATAAATTCACTGCTTCCAGGAAGCTAACCTTACAAAAATTGATGGCAAACTGAAAAATGAGAAAAGTCTTATTAGGCACTGAGAGGCTAAATAAATAATTACTGACATTAACCAAAGCTGATAAAACCCTATTTCCAGTTCCTGTCACCTCACTGTACAGCCATAACTGTTGGCTATTTTCAGTCTAAAAGCAATGAACTAGATTCATTTCCTGACAGAAAAAAAAAAAAAAAGTCTACAAAAGGGAAGAGAATGCAAAACAATACACAATCTCATATGCAAGATACAATTCACACTTATTTACAAATTTTTATTTACACTGCTTTATACACATTCCAGGCAGACCTAGTTGATGAGTTTTGTGCTCATATTGATCTCATATGATCATGTCAACAGTATGATTTGCTACCACATCTCTTTGATTTCCAGAAAATGTTGGTAGCATGGGGTCAGGAGAGGAAAAAAAAAATCAAATATCATTGGTTACAAGTATATAAGGGGGGATAAAAGAAGGGGGTGGAATTTTGCTTGTTAAAAGCATTGAGGCCACTATGGTCTATTGACTAACATTGAACATATATGAAAGCCACTTCTAACAACCATTTTCATATATACAAAATGAGCTTACTACCAATTGAGTGATTAGGTAAGGCATTCAAATTCCTTAGCTTAACATAAAAAGGCAACTGATATCTCAGCAAGCCACAAGACAAATTTTAATTTAAGAGGGATGATTTTAGAGTGCTGTTGAGATTTACTCTTCTTTAGAATCCCTTAAATGGCCAATATAAAGAGAAGCTATTTTGAACCCTATTGTTAATCTGCACCATGATCCGCAAAACCTGTACAGGAAGCAGGAGCATCACAATACCCTCAATCTAGCCAGAATGAGGGCAACAGTTTAAGTATCTTAACTTGTTCCCAAGATCCACTGAATACTTCTTCCAGGACTAAAGCGACAGCCTTTATTCCCGGCTACATTCAATTCTATATGAATCTCTCTGAATCACTTAGTATCACAGCTAGCAGCTATGCGCAGACTAACAACAAAGGCTCAGTGAATCTCTATTCAAAATAGTTTGAAGTAAGATTATGAAGTAAGGTAGAAAAATGATCTTCTTTCCTCCCATAGTAGTATAAGATATATACTCTTGGACTTTAAAAGTCAGAGAGCAAAAAATCAAGAGTAACATTACATATTCTTCATCATTCTATGCTAATGTTCAAACCACAGATGAAAATTCCACCAAAAACAAGTTTTTTTGAATTTACTTTAACATTATAAAAAGCTACTCATTATTTAATTGGTTCCATTTATTTAATCAACTAGGCAAAATTTTATTGATCTTACAGTAATATGGTTTATAAAAACAAAAGTGAACATTTATAACATTGGGGAGGTAGAAACCAAATTTTGGTCTAACACTGTTACAGATACAAACATTTTAAGAGTCTATTTATGTAACTAGAATGTACCATTTTAAATGGTCTGTAAGTGTTTCTATTTACTTTATTATCTTGAGATAATCCAAGTAATTTTAAAGCACTTGTCTGAGAATATAAGTCATTTGGAATAATACATCAGACTCCCCAGAAGATTTCTCAGAGGATAAATTTGTAGTTGCATATCTTACAAATCTTTGAATATGCAGATCCAGTAAGCCAACTTTGTACATGAGCACTTACGTGACGAAAGTGCAAAGCCTGTCAGACTAATTTTCTAAGTATAGTTAACCATGACTGCTCAACTCCACAGAGCAGTCTTTAAAACTTGAAGCCTTCCTAACTATCCCAAAGATCTAACTTTCTTCCATAATATAACTGCCTCTCTCACCCCTAAACAAAATATATACTTAAACAAAAACAAGATACATAAAAACAACAGAAGCCCTCCTACCATAAGTATTTCTGCTAAATTCACATTTTGTTGCTTGTCAGATTTTAAGTATACAAGATCAATGTCCTCAATGTTCCTTATTTAACTCATTCACTGCCTCAACATATTACTCTGAAATTAAATGTATCAAGTAATTATTTGCTATCACTCTAAAGACAGAACCAAAGTAAACCATGAAACCAAAAAAGGAATGAATCTGAATAGATTTTTTTAAAAAAAGAATCAATCTAAATGATATTCTTTATAAGAATGACAATTTTGTGTGTCTGTTTGAAAATTAACAATACAAGCTATTATGTAATAAACTAAAACATACAGTATCTCAATTAAGTAAAACAAAATTTGGATTAGAAACAATTTGATACCATGAAATTTTAAAAACTGAACTGGTAACTCCAATGTCCACATTTAGCACTTGAAAACAGTACTAACTACAGATTTTGGTAACATTAAATCATTATTCTTATTCCAGGGTTATGTGGCAAATATAAAGAGACAAGAATTTAGTTCTAAGTTGTAGTTCCCCAAAAGGAAATGTTTTCCAATATTTAATTCAAGAAGATGTACCACCAACAGAGACATAAATGTATTTTTCCCTTCTAAGCAGATATTTTTATATGAAAACCCTAAATTATCTATACCAATCAGTGACTGGTATTTCAAGGGTAAATAATTCATTTTACTTAGAATCAAGATAAAAAAAAGTTACAATGAACAACCAGAAAATTTTTGTAAAATTATAAGATAAAACTTAAATTTCTCTGGAACATTTTCATTGCATACACTCAACAAACAAATGAATCAGATGAAAGAAGTCACAGATCATGTTAAATTCATAATAAATAATTCACATGTAACAGAGTAAATTATCACAGAAAGGCTTAAACTGACATCTTTATACCTTTTGCAGATTTAACAAATATCTAATCCACCACATACTGATAGCAGTAGGTATACATTGTGACATCACTCAAGTCTATTTAAAAAATAGATTGGTTGTTTTGAGGCATAATTTGTAAAGCAAGATAACCAAATTAAGTAACAGAATTTTAACAAATATTGGCTTTTTGGAATTTCTTAAGAAAACAATTCACAAGCATTGCTCAGCTACTTGAGAATAATTAAATCTCTTCTTTACTCAGGCACTTTCAATGCAGTAACCTCAGGCTTCATTTTAAAGTACTGGTTAAAACGAACAATTGCATACCTAATGAGAAAAGAGAATAAATGACAAAATCAGTCAAAGTTAAAAAACTTAGCCCTCACCTCCCATCTTAATTTCCACTCTTCTAAGCTGGATTTTTGTAAGTTTTAAGAGTTTCAAAGGACATATTTTGAGTTTACTGCACCACCTACTGGACACTTCTAATACTGAGAGCACTTAACAGCTTCTACCAGATTTCTTTACAGACCAAATCATTAAATTCATGCAGCCTTTGTAATGACTGAAAATAATAACATAATAATGTTCTCTATGAGTTCTAAATATTAATTCAAAGAAAAGTAGAGACAAATGCAATACATTTAATAAAACTGAACTTACCCAAGAAAATCAAACTCAATAGTAGAATATTTGGCTTGAATCAGAGCCCACAATCCCCAAAAGAAATGAGAAGCCTTAAAAGGGGAAAAGAAAAATCAAGAATTACATTAATGCGTTTCTTTCTAAAACTAATATAAAAATGTTAACTCCATTCTCTTCATCAATTACATGCATGGTTCTTTCCCTCTCTCTTGCTGGGATTTAATCTAGAGTCTCCCTGGAACTATACCCTCCTCTGGCTCCAATTCTTACTTTCTTACTGCTCTTTTTATATTATTTTAAAAACAGAGAAAATACTGAACAGTACAGTTACTGGATAGATGCAGATCACTTACTTATCTATAATAGAAGAGGTTACAATAAATTATAATCACATAAAAAATAAAGCCCAATTCCTATAACTTGCTTTGTATCAGCACTGTCAGATGTTGTCTAAATGTTTTTAATGGCTATTAACTCCTAACAGGCTTTCTTATAACACATATTATTAAGAATCTTTCCTTCTTGACATAAAAACACAAACAAAAATGAAAATGCAAACCTCAGAAATAACAAATATATTTAAAATGTGAGACTGTTCTAGGAGCAACAAACATTTGAAAATAACTTTATTGGCTCAAATCTGCACAACCAACATAACACAAAGTAACAAACTTTATGGCAGCAAAAAATTATGTTCAGACTTAAAGAGAAATTACAGTGTAAATAGTAACTATATCTGAAATCCATCTTCAGTTAGACCTAATGGTACTTTAAAATTCTGGTAAGATTTTACTTCCTCAGACATAATAATTTATTGTGACTAGAAATACTCTAACAAAAACTCTTAAAGATAAGGTTTTTATTTCAGTTAAATTCACTATAGCAAAAGCAACAAAAGGCCTCTAAGAAAATATTACTTAATAGCTGTGAATTTTGTTATTTTAAAAAAATCTGATTTGGTATGTGAAACAACACAGTGTACCAGAAAGAATTATTTAATTTATAAGGTGCACAAGTGCAAGTCCTAGTTCTATTACTAATTCCCTTGGTAACCTTTAAGAAGTCACAAATTTTTAACGTCAGAACTATCATTTTATGATGTTCATAATATCAGCCATTCAGTATTCCATACAGAATTATTTTAAAGACAAAAGAGTATCTGTTTTTAAAAAGTTTTCAAGCTAAAGTCCTCTATTTACTCTTGCCTTCCTCAAAAAAATATCATTAACAGGATAACTTCCTACCACAAATACAAGTAGAAAAAGAATAAACAATGTAACAACTCCAAGTAGCTAAAGTCACACAAACATGAAACAAAATTTTTTGAAAAGCTATGCTTTGAAGTGTGGCTTTGAGCAACCTAATTAACAATTCTTTGCCTTTGTATCCATCCTCACCTATAAAACACAGGTATAATAGTGTCTCTACCTGGCATGTAACAAACATTCAAGAGAATTTCAGCTATTGTTATTACACAAAATTAGAATGATAAAAATGATGAAGATTTTTAAAAATAAACTTCCAGTTTCTACCTAAGGAAGTATCTCAGATACTGAGAATTAAATAATTAGATGATATTCTTTTAAATATCTCAATCAATGATTCTCAAACCCAGAGTCCCATAGGGATTGACACAAATGAAATATATAAAGAAAATGAACAACAAATGACACATACAAAATATAAATTGAGCAACTAGTGCATGAACCCATAGAAGGCTTCTGAGGACCAAAACTAATTCCTTAATAATAATATGTTACTTACCTTTTTCACTACCTTAACATCTGCACTTAATATTCAAAAGTAACAGTGGGGGTAAACAAGGAAAATAGATGATGGGTAAAATTGCTGGTATCGTAATATAAGTGAAGACAATAGCAGCAAATAGTACTATTACAGGTCTCACTCATTATCACCACACACAATAAAAATCTAATCTCACTCTTTAGTATATCCAATGATATCCAATATGAAGCCACTGAAACCAGTAATTTCATCAAATCTCTACCTCAGAGTGTATGTTCTATTATTTTGTGGGGTGAAATAAGAAATATACAAGCATAGGCTCTATATACCAGAGTAAAATGATTGTTTCAAGAAAAGTACTTATGTATCTAAGCTAGGAGTTGAATTTGCACCTTTTTACCAGAACATCATTTTTACTTGGGGGGGAAAATGACTGACATTGTGTGTGTGTGTGTGTGTGTGTGTGTGTGTGTGTGTTTTGCTAGGGTTTGCATGCAAGGCAAGCACTCTACCAACTGAGCTACATTTCCAGCCCCATTTTCTTAAGTACAAAAAAAGAACTTGTCATTAGAAAGAAAATAAATGATAATATTTGTTGCTAATGGAAAAACTTCAGCTTTCACCTTGAAATTAGAACTTGAGAAAAAACTTATTTGATTCTGAAAACAGCTTCAAAACAGTACTATCAATTTTCCTGAAAACAGTTATTTTTATCAAAGTACGATTTTTTGATATCATGAGATTCACCAACAGTTGGTAGTCCACATAATTCAATGAATCCATATTTTCTAAGTAACTAATGATGTTAAAATTACAAAATCACATACTGGCAAAAGATTGTACAAATAAACCAATAAATTTTAAGGTCACATTTTTAAAAAAAGTAAATTGATATGCACATAGTTTACAAGTTGCTATTAATCTTAAAAGAAACTGTTGAGTCTTTATATAATATCAATAAAGAACACATACAATTATCTGAAAAGGTAAAACACTCTTTTTTTCCATGTTACATAACATGTGTAAAACTATTTTCTTCATGTACTTCAACTGCAATACTATATCACAACACAGAATGCAGAAACGTAAGAATCTAGCTGTCTTCTATCAATTGAGAAAAGAAATTTACAAAAATGTAAAATAATGTTAACTCTTCTAACTAAAAAAAAACTTTGTTTTTGCTTTGGAAAAGTTATTTTTTATAAATGGCATTTATTTTAATGAGGTTTTACCTTTAATTTTAATAAACACTTTGAATTTTGTTTTGAATTCTAATATGATAAATTTGATAATTAGCTTACATAAAGAAAAGTTCATAGGGGTGTTCAAAATTTCTTTAAAGAGTAAAAAGGTTCTAAGACCAAAAAACTTGAGAACTACTAGTCTAAATCGCATTGGAGTATTTTTAAGTCATACAAAATTATCTGCAGATGGTATCTAATCTCTTCTAAGTTTGTTCTGTAGTGGAAAAGACTTAGAAATTAAGAGGTCATTCTAAGCCTAAAAATAACATCAACCTAGCACGTCTCACCATTTCAAGACTAGCAGGTAACTGTATTTCTCAAACACTTTTTATTTTTTATTCATATAGTGAGATATATCAATGATTTTACACTAAAGAAGCACTATAATAAAACCTCAAAAAATCTAATATTGATAGGCAGCATTTTTATAGAGTAAAAATGCAAAATTTATATGTAAGATTAGACTCTAAATGGATAAAAGGAGAGGCAGAAAACTTCAATCTAATGTATGAAATATGATATGTTAAGAGCTTTGTAATGTTGTGAACAACCAATAAAAAAATAAAAAATTAAAAAAAAAATAAATAAATATAAAAACAAAACAAAACAAAACCAGCATACATTAATGTTTATTCGAGCTCAATTCACAACAGCCAAACAATGGAACAAACGAAGGTGCCCTCTAACAGATGAATGGATAAAGAAAATGTGGTATATATACACAATAGAATATTAGTCAACCATAAAGAAGAATGACTTTATGACATTTGCCAGAACAATCATGCTAAGTGAAATAAGCTAATCCCAAAAAAACAAAGGTCCAATGTTCTGAACTCTAGTATGTGGATCCTAACACACAACAAGGGGTTGTTCAGTGGATAAGAAAAAGAGAAGGGAGGGTGCCACTGGGAGAGAGGATAGAAATAGGAAAAGATAGTAGAATGAATCAGATATAACTTTCCTATGTACATATATAAATAATACACCAGAGTGAATCTGAACAGCTACAGGATGGGATCCTAATTAGAATAGATACACTCTGGGTTGTATAAATATGTCAAAATTGACTACTATCATATATAACTAAAAAGAATTAAGTAAAAAGAAATAACTGCCTATGAATAAAAGGTCAAAAAGATAATATACTGGATTAAATCACAAAAACAACTGGTTCTACCAATCTACTTTTATTGTGATAAGATTGAGATGTGAGGATTAAATATATTGTGGAAAATCTCATCTCCCATAAATCTTCCTTCGATTAAAAGCTTTTTTATAACAAAGAAAAAGAATCCATTCCCTGAGCAAATAATTGCTGAGCACTTGTTATCTATTTCCAAGCACTGATCTATGAGCTGTAGATACAGCAGTGAAGGAAATGAAAAGTTTGTCCTCAAAAGAAGGCAATTTGGGTAATGTAAACTGTAAACAGTCAAGTTTTTTCATTATGTTGAACAAAAATTCACAACATTGAAAATAAATTGTTTTATAAGATGATTATATTAAGAATCTTTCATTTATTGTTTATATTTAATAAACTTACCAATGCAAACTGATTGACTTGAATGAAGAGTATTTCTACCTCCTTTTCAGTAACTTCAGTCCCAAACCCTTTATATTCCTTGTAGGCTTCAAGGTAAGAACGCAGCCACTGGCCCTGTAGCTCTCTATCTGGATAGAGACTATAGTCTACGTCACTTACACCTTTAGGGAAAAAAATACACTGAAGTTATTTTAAAAACAGACACTTTCCCACATACCTTAATAATCATTACAATCAACATTTTTTTCATAAAATGTTTTCATTTCTGTTTATAACACTAGACATTAAATAAATACTTATTAAAATAATAAACATTTTCCTGAAATGCCTTCCCTTATCTTCAATTTATATATCTAACTTCTACTTAACTTTCAAGTTTAACTCAATTATATTTTCCACAAAATTGTTCTAAGATCACTGTAATTTTCTTTTATATCCACAGCATGACTATATGTGTTACTAACAGGGTGATATCTCATTGTATGCAGTTGATTTCCCCTCCTATAGGTAAATATGAAAATATGTGTATATATATAGGTGAGGCTCTAGCATGTATATGATAAGCTTGGTGGAGAAAAATAACTGAAAATGTGTAAAAAAACTTTTTCACAACTTATTTCCCAGTCTGGAAACAAAGAATATAAAAACACATGGATACACTAAAGTACACAAATACAATTCAATAATGAAATATTTCTGCTACATGTAAACCATCTAAGGAAATTTCCTAATTCTTTACTTTCAGGTCATTTCATATTTCTAAATACAGTCAGGAAATGAATTTTAAATTAAATCCATTACATTGAAAAAAAAAGTAAGCTTTTATATTTGATTACAGATAGAGTGTTCAGGAATACAAATGAACAATTCTTCAAACAGCCATAACCAAGTTAAGAAAATTCTTGAGCTTTTCAATTAAAATCATTTCTAAAGCCCAAGTTTACAATGAGTGTGTGTGTGTGTGTGTGTGTGTGTGTGTGTGTGTGTGTGTGTGTGTTTTGCTGCTAGGGATCAAAACCCAAGCCTCCCACATATTAGGCTAGCCTCCCACATACTCCCATATAGCTCAACCACTGAGCTATACTCTCAACCCCAGGAAGTCTTTTAAATGATAAACAATACTAAATTCAAATCTCAGTTCTCAATATTCTACCACGACCTTGACGAATTATATATCCTAAATGTAAACAGGGAATACTGCCTTACAGGAGGAATATGGGGGAGAAAAAAAAAATGAAATGAGATTTATGAAGCATCTTGTACCTTATAATATCACAACAGATACCACAATTATTATTTTCCTCCTGTACATTATTTTCTGATGGCAATTAAGGAAGAAAATCTCATAATCTCTTTTCTCCAATAACCAAGAAAAACAAAGAAAAAGGGTCAGCAAGAGGAAGAAAAACAGTGCTACTATTCCCAGCTGATCCACATTTAAAAAAGCAAAAGAAAATTGTGAAACTACTATTTTAGAGGTAAACATGTTACTTCTTGGTTTTAAATTAGTTAAACCTTGGTTTTTACCTGCGAATTCATTGAAATGATTTCCAATATCATATGCCAGGTAGTTGTATCCAGAATATTCATAATCAATGAACTGTACATCACCTATATGAGACACAAAAACGAAGACATTAAGAAGTCACATACAAGATCAGAAAATCCCTATGCTATTTGTAATTAAATAGCTTCCAATATTTTGTCTCATTGTATGTGCTTGGTTACTTGCACTTCTGAGACAATACAGGGTAAGGCTGTGAATTTTATGGCAATGAGCTTTACAAAATTCAAATTATATCTCTTAATCAACAGCTTCTTGTGAACACAAAGGTCCACTCTATTAAAGAAAAATGAAAATACAGTCTCTAAATTCTAACAAAAACGGTATATTTTTCACCACATGGGGGCATCAGTAACTAAACTTTCAAGTTTAATCAGAAATAACTTAATAACCAATGCCATTTTAACAAAAACTTAATCTATATTTCAACAGTAAACTGGCAAGCTTATCTCCATATGAAAATCAAATACAAACTTTAAAAAGACCTGAATTAATATTAACTTTTACATTCATTTTATAATATATAACACTTGATTAACTAATTTAACATCACTGATTTAATGAAGTTGACTGCTATCATACTCTCATATTTACCTAGAATTGCTATATGACTAAAGTTTTCATATCTGAGTAGCATTAAAGAGCAGCACTGCTCTTTTAAAAAGAGCAAAGATACAGTTTCTTTTAGACCCTTATAAAATTTAAGAAATCTATAAGCTAAATTAAGATTCCTATTCTAAATTATCTTATACCTATATAAGTTATAGTTTTTCATTATAATACTCCAAAGATAATCCTGTTCTTCCTGTACAAGTGAAATACTCCTACTTAGGAGCTTTTAAATTTTGAATACTTATTATGGAGGGTTTGGATCAACAAGATACAGTTTCTGTACAGATAAAAGGGGGAAAAAAAAGAAAAAGGTTTTAAAAAAAAATTAATGTGAGTCACTGTCTACACCAGAGAGAGGTTTTAAAAAAAAATAATATAAGTCACTATCTACGCCAGGGATCACAAACTTGAAAGCTTAGAGGAGCTTGGAGTTAAAATGGATACATGAACAGAGATGGCTGTAAGAACAATTTCTAAGCTGCTTACATTTGAGAAAATGTATAACAATTGCATAGTTATCCTCTCTTTTAAACTTTGAGAAGGTATAAAACAGATTCCTGAATTATAAGCACTGATATTTCCCAAATAAAAGTGTTTCTGAACTGTGCTGATATACTAACTTTATAAAGAAGTATGTTGATCATATTCAAACAGAAAAACAGAATTATATGACAAAAAAAAGAAAAAAGGCCAGAGCAAATGTAAGATTTCACATAAAAACAAATGCCTTTTGTAAATATAACTGTATTTAACATAATTTTAAATTTGTATAAATAATGGGTCTGGCGAATGTCACTCAATAATAGAGTGCTTGCCTAACATGTATAAGGCCCTGGGTTCAATTCTCAGCATAACCAAAACAAAAAGCCAATTCTAGAATAATAAGGGAGAATGATCAAAGTATCTTCCAGTTATCAAAACTGAATATATACTGTTATAATAAAGATAAGATTATAAAATGTTGGTGAGAATCATCACTGCAATTTAACTGCAAATATTATATTCTTGAATTCTCCAAATATTCCACAAAAGGTTTTAGTGTTAACTAAATCACTTCACTAAACTGCAGAAGGGGAAATCAAAACTTGTTTTAAAATTTCTTTTCTAGGAATCATGAATAAGAAGGTGAAAACCACCACCATGATAAAAATACTTGCAGCAATGTAAATAAATAAATAGAGCCATGAAAAATTCTCATTTCTAAAAATAACACAGGAAAAAAAGATGAATAGAAACAAGCCAAAACAAAATGTTTTAGCTGCTTTTATTACAGGTGATAGACAAGTGACATTTTTCCTTTTAAATTCTTTATAATAAACTTTACTTTTTAAAGGGAAGTGTTATTTTTAAAAATGGTAAGATGAATTTTCTAAACAAAAGTATAAATAAATAAGAGCCTAAATACAATGATTCAAGAGATAACCAACCATAAACCTTCAAAGAAAGTCAGGATACAAGATTTACCAAGTTGCGCAACTGAGCCAACAGTTTTCATATGTAATTTTTTTAAACTGCAGCTGTTGATTGCTTTAGCTCTTTAAACACTAATTCTTGTAGAGCTCATATCAACTGTTACATGCCAATAAAAATACACAGCCCAGTCCTGCCACTTACTTTTGCCACATAAATAAAAGCTTCAATTTCAATTTTCAAAATTATATTTAGAATTTGGCGAATATAATTAAAATGGCAGGTAAAAACATGCCTGCTTGTAAAGTAAATACAAATTAATTAAAACATAGATCACTTTAACAAAAGTTAAATTCTGTTTCAGTATGAAAATTTTAGCAATGACTTTTTGTAGTAGCATTAATTCATTAACACTAGCCTTTATTTTTAAACGCTATGTTGAGTTTATAAATAATGAAATTTAAAAAATAAGAAAATGAAGCTAACAAGATACAGATGAGGCTGTTACCAGGCTCCGTGCATGTGAACAAGTGATGCGATAAACCTCCAGTCAGTGCGTTTAAGAAGCACGGGGTGCGCCGCCACATGGCAGCAACAATGGCATACCTAATCTGTAGCAGATGAAGAAAATTTGGCAAACTCACATTTTACAAGACACAAAGCTTAAAAGGAAAGAAATTAAAAAAAAAATCTGCATTAACTATTCTTTTCCAAGTTATTACAAACAAAGTGGAACTCAACCTTAAATTTAATCTTCTGCAACAAAGTAAAATTAGAGGCCTACTGCCTTATTTAGGGTGCCAGAAAAATCAAATTACAGAATTGGAAAATGCTGTCTTATCAACAGAAAACATTTGGGTTTTTTTCTTCTTATAAATTTAGCATTTGATTTCCACAATATCCCATTATATAAAGGTACATTCATATCACTATTTATAATTAACTAACTTATATGGTGATCTTAATTCCTAAGACATGAATTTTTAATTGAAGCTCCAAGGGTTAAAAAGACAATGAGATTACTCTCTAAACTTTCATACAAAATTTTATGTGGATGTGTATTTCCTAAGGGAGGCAGGAATTCTCAATTTTCCAGATTCTCAAGGGATCTTTGACCTTTAAAAATGTAAAGAACCACTAGTTTAAGGCCTAGCACTAGTTTTTATTTATCTTTTGCAATTAGCACAATGACAAACACATAATGGGTAAAGCATGTTATTTACAGATAAATCTATAATTTGAATTTGCAAAAGTTACATTTTGTCTTTTATTACTGTAATCTTGCACATCTTCACTACAATAGTATATTCCATACACTGGGCTAAACTATCCAAATCTTAATATATTAAAAATAGTCTTTCAATTTTCTAAGTACTTTAAAGCCAAAAGAATAACTAATTCCCTAGGGCTACACAATTACCACATGACACATTTGTCTGGATTGCTCTATCTTACTGTTAAATATTTAAGTGAATAAAAATGGAAGATTAAACTGTCAATAAGGAAACTGAAAATCCTTTCAAATGACTACTTGTTCTGCTCTCTTAGGTAGGAGGAAGGAGAACAGTAACCTGTCAGACCAATGTTAACAAAACGTTTTTTCTCTCATGCAGAAAAAGACAGGGAGTATTTTGGTCTGGGAAATTTTCCCTACATCCCTCATGCTGGTGTCCAATAAGTACTCTGTATTTGCCTTCGACACAGCACTCATCATTTTAAATGTTAAGCATCTCTTCAGTGATGGACTCCTTCACTACATGATACGAACTCCTGGAGGGACAATAAGGTCCCTCTCATTTTTCACCAAGTGATCCACAGAATAATTCCCAGCATACAGGAGTAATCAAATGCTACTGGAATAAATGGATGTTTTGCACAGAATGCTGACACATAATAAGAACACGTTTCGGATGGGGCAGGCAAAAAAAAAAATAAGCACAAAAACGGGGGAAAGTGTGGTATTTTTTTTATAAGTATATGACTGAAGACAACGGGCCTTAATGCATGAGTTTAAAAACAAAACAATCAAAAACAAAAAAAGTTTTTAAATCAATTTAGACTTATTATTTGACTTAGGGATATTTTACTTTCTGTTAACTAGTGGTCTAGGGAAAAAAAACAGGTTTAAGATTATCCTTCATTATTGTGTGAGGAACCCTCTCAAATTATAGAAATATTAGGTGTCTGAGTCACAGGGGTGTACATATTTTTCAAAATTCATTGAATAATGTGCTCAAGATTTTCCTTTTCTTAAGGTCCAGGATCTCACCACACTGCCTAGGCTGGCATCAACTCCAAGGCTCAAGTCAAAAAATTCTCTTGCCTCAGGCTTCCAAGTGGCTGGAACTACTGGCATGCACTATCATGTCAAGCTTTGTAAGATTAAGTTTTGAATATTACACTATATGGAAATATTGAGCTTTAATTAATGTTATGCATGCTGACATGCTTAGGCATGAAAATCACTGATGTCTATGACACTTTGAAATATATATTTTAAAAAATAAAGCTGCGCATAGTGGCATATGCCTATAATCCCAGGGACTCCAAAAGCTGAGATACGAGGAACACAATTCAAGGTCAATCTGGACAACTTAGTGAGATCCTGTCTCAAAAGAAAAAAATAAAAAGAGCTATGGATACAGCTCAGTGGTACGTGATCACCCCTGGATTAAAGCTTCAGTACTGCAAAATAAATTAATTAATTAAAATATAAAAATAAGATGATCTTAAGCATGAATAGATGAAATGATATGATAAAGTACAAACTTGTCAACAAATTTTAGAATACAGGTGGCAGGTACGGGGGTGAGCACTGTACAATGTTTTTAACTTTCCTTGTATTTGAAAATTTTCACAAAATGTTTAAGAAAAAAAATAGATAAGTATGTGCACTTTTTTTTGTAGTTTGATACAACATCTTTATTATTAATATTTATTATTATGTGGTGCTGAGGATTGAACCCGGGGCCTCACATGTGCTAGGCAAGTGCTCTACCGCTGAGCCACAACCCCAGCCCTGTAT